AAATGCACAGGGGGGGGGGGCATGCGGAGCCACTCCAATCCTGATGTGTGTGGATTGGGGGCCAAGGGTGGGGGAAAGAGGAGCCCAGCCAGATCTGGACACTCAGGGGTGGGGCCCAGGACAGCTCTGATCCCCCTTCACTGCAATAACCCAGGCAAGACTGGAATTGACTGCCCAGGCAAGGCTGGCGTTCTCACCTGTGGAGGAGCTCCACAGGCTGGATGTCATGGCTCTGCGGGTCAGAGGTTGAGCAAACCTGTTCTCACCCATTGATTAATGGCAGATGGAGGCTCAAAGCCCCATCAGCTCCAATTTCCTCCATACACTTTTTGCTGCTAGGACTCTTAGGCTGCCCCTGCACCTGGAGCTGTTTATCAAACAGCTTCTCTCTTCTCAAAAGCTACCTCTTCACATAATGACACAATTTCATTAAAACTAATAAGAAACTACAATCATCCCATCCTATTTTCTGTTCTTACCAGGAAGCAGCTGTCTAGGACTATTTATATCTTTGCATTTTAAAATACATAGCCCCATTCCCATCTTGAGACAATCAACGGCTAATTTGAGTTAATTCCCACTTAAACTGTGTGTGTAAATGACTGTCAGCCACTGCCACATTTCTGGATACAAATCAAAACCAGGGAGAAATAAGACCTGAGATAAACTCAATATTTGTTTTTTTACCATCACTCAACTTACCGTGGAATGTCATTTCCATTTGCGCAAAAAGAAAGCAAACCCATCTCAAGCCCTCTACTCAACCACAACTATACACTGACCTTTTGGAGGGGCTGGCTGGATGCTAACCACTGGCTGCTGCTTTGGCAGTGGCAGAAGTGTTGGAAGGGTCTGAATAATGATGGCTTTAGCCGGTAAACCAATGTTGGTCTGAGTCTCAAGTACAGCAGGCAGCAAGAGAGGCTTGGGCTGAATGGAAAGTTTTGATGCCTGATTACATCGCTTTGGTGCCTTTGCAGAGCTATTGGCTGGGGAGAAGGAAAATAAATGAGTTAGTTTCAAAGATCTAAAAATAAGAATTCTATAAAGAGTTACTGATGTATTTCTTTGTTAAGATGTGCCTCTCATGCCAAGTACATTTATCAGAAACAAAAGGCCTGGGTATTTGAATAGGACTGTGAAAGTCCTTTTCCCCTCTCATGCATCATTTCATGAAAGGCAATGATGCATGTACTAACAGCAAGGCCAAATAAAAAATATTAATCATACCGGACCGGAGTGTGGCATTGGCAACAAGCTTTTTCTCATTCTGGCCATCAGGGGATGAGGGACTTGTGGAGCTCTTGCCATAAAGAGAAAGGGGAGACATCTGGGAGCTGGAGCTGAAGTCCAAGTCTTCCTGTTGATGGAAAGTACAAAAAACCCCACAACTAATGACAGATCCTTCAAAACAAAAAAGAGAGTGCTTAAAAAATAAACCAAATACATCACAACCTGTATTATTCATATAGGAATGATTCATAAACCACTTCTCTTTAATACTCAGGTGCTTTGCTGTGACTTTCATTTCAAAGGGCACTGCTTCTCTGATCAGCTGAGGAACAGTCAGTCTGGCACAGCTGATTGGAAAGTGATGCCCTGTGAAATAGAAGCTGTGACTAGGATATGGTACACACCCAGTCCCCCATAGCCATTTGCTGAGGTTAGATATACCTAGGTTTACCAAGTGTGCAAACTTTGCAGTGGGGTTATGGTCCTGTATAAAGAATCTGATTTTTTTACTGTATTTTCAGCGTTCAGTTCAATGTTTAACTGGCCTTTCTACTAAAGCCTCCCACAGTAACAATGAGGATGGAAAGAGATATTTTTATCCAACCTTTTATTCTTGGCAGTGCTAAAGGCCATTTAAAAACAAGCAATCCTCTTCTTTTTATCCAGCAAGATCAGGCAGACAGGGGATAGCAACAGCTACTAGAAAGGCTGTCCTGTAGTGAATACTTTTGGACTCCACACAGATACAAAACATAGGAAAAATCACAGGAAGTGCCTGTGTGACAGCTTGTTTAATTTTGCAGTTTCCCCCATGCCCCTCCCACTACTGATCAGCAGAGGGGCCCCGTGACTTGCTCCCGATTGGCAGGGAGGTGAAAACCACAGTTTTAAATATGGCAGAGTTTTTGCCTCCTGCCACTGATTGGCCAAGGGGCCCCAGTAGTCCTGATGTTTGTTGCTAACTGGACAGGAGGCAAAAGCCATGCCATATTTAAAACCACAAATTTTGTCTCCCTGCCAATCAGTGTGGGAGGCCTGGGGGAAACTGCAAGATTAAAGGAGTCACCATGCAGCACACTTCCACTGCAATTTTGGTAGGTACTTAACAATGCATTCTCAGTTATCCAAACCTATTTGGCAATGCTGTTGAATTTACTCAGGTAAGTGAAACTGTGACAAGGTCAAGGTAATCTCTCTCAACAGGGCTTCTGATTGGCTTATCTAACTGGAGTCCATTGAGAGGGTATCCAGACAAGCTTTTATGTGTGAAGTGATGTGTTATCTAAGCTCCAGCTCACTTTTCATTGCCAATTATGTGCGTCCTAGTAACAACATCAAATCAAACTTGAGGCAACCTGCTGGGCACTTGGATTAACAGAGGATGTATCTTAGTTGTTCACAGCATAACATGGAAAAACTACGCTCTTGAACTCCCCTGCAATATTATTTGCTGTGCATTATGTTCCTGTTTGTATGGATCAGAGAGTAGCATGGGAAAGAAAAAGGCTTAGTACAAGAAAATTTGACTGAAGAAACTGTTACAGGGACAGGCAAGATAACTCAAAGCAGTTTATTACAAGAAAATAGATCAGAATATGTTGATGCTGTTCTTTTAATGTGTGCTTCCTTTATAAGCCATTCTTTCATTCATACAATATCATTGTAAGCCATGTAAAGCATCAAAATGTTAGTGCTTACAGGCACATGTTGTGCTGAAGAGTCCACTGATGATGATGGTGAAGGGACTGAAAAAGTTGAATTAGCTGGTGATTGAGGTTCTGTCTTCAAGTTTGCCCCTACAAGAGACAAAGATAAATAGGCTTTTGTACTGCACAGATCTCTAACAACAGAAGCATCACCCAGAGAACCTGTCACTCTACTTCAAGCATTCAATTAAACAAAAGAAAAAAAAATAACTAAAATACACAAGTAAAAATAGTAAAACTACAAAAGTTATGTAAAAAGAGTACCTAATGTTCCACCCAAAGGCGAAAAAAACATCAATGAAGCAATTTCTGGTTGCAAAAGTCATAGCATACATAGGACCTTGAAGATCATCTAATCCAACCCCCTGAACAGATACAGGATGCACTGTTCCTGAACCATCCTAGACAGATGCCATTCAGCTTCCTGAAAATCTCCAATGAAAGAGATTCCACAGCTACCCTAGACAGTTTGGTCCACTGCCCTAATGGATCCTAGAAGGTTTTTTCTGAGCTTTGATCTGCTCAGGTATTCTAGTAAACAGTTCCACTGGTATCCCCAAACTTATGACACCTGTGACTAGAAAGTCATAGCTGGTATGTATTACCTGAAAAAGTCTGGTTTGCAGTATCCCAGAGGTCTGGGTCACAAGACATCAAATCCAGATCAAAATCAAGGTTATACAGACAATTTTTCTGAAATGACAGTTCAGCATAATTATATTTCAGAGAAGGAAGAACTGAGGATATATATTATAACCAGCATGCATTATACTCAGCTAATTATAGAACAAAATAACAGAAAGGAATTCTAAGGCACCATTTGTACCTTATGGTATAGTGAAACCAGTGTTCACAGCTAAACTCTCAGAAGCATGTAAGGCAGGTTTTCTATAACAATAATGATGTAAGCCGTAGATGCAGAAAGAGGCTATGGCTTTTAGTTCAGTCTTAAGCAGCAACTGGATAAGCAGGGGCAGAAGGGGTGTCACTTGAGTAATTATTTTTCCAACTATTATTTGTAATGCAGTAGCAAACTACAGGTCTCAGTCATTATTTGAGATGATGATTTTTCTGCATTTTTTTGTTTTTATAATACCTGATTTCACATCAATACATTCCAGCCTTGAGAGGTCAAGATTATTAGCTCCATTTTACAGATGGGAGAAATTGAGACCTGGGGATGTAACATGATTTGGTGAAGGACATTAGCAAGATGGATTACAGAGCTAGTAACAGACCCCAAATCTACAAAGTGATAGACCAATGCTCTCTCTACTAGGCACACAACAGTTAAATAAACAGATACCTTCAATTCCCAGAGGGAGGGCATTCAACTTCCTTTTCCAAAGATACTTTGACTCTATGCAGCAAATGGCACAAGGACAGTCTTTCATAAATGAGTCAACAGGAGGTTCTGGCTCCCTGTACAAAAACCCCCTCTACTTCATGAATTCTCCTCCTCCTAAAAGGAGTGGAATTCTCCAGTCTCAGCCAAGGAACAAAATTATTCCAATAAATACAAAGCAAAATGTTTAAAAACATCACATGCTCCTAACATAATTTCTGGAGACCATGAACACCCAAAAGATACAGGATGGTTGTGTCAGAAGTGAGGTAAACCCCAAGAATGTCAAAAAGGGTAGCAACCCTAGGGCAGGGCCCATTATGTGGATATAACCTGGGCATGCACTGATAAAGATTTCTTTGGTCAATACCAATGGCTGATTATTTATCATAAAGCAGGTATCAAATTTAGGAGCAAATAACTAAGTCACATTAGTGGATGTGTAGACGTGCTAATGCGCATTAATGTGGTGTGTGTTAGTGGACACATATTGCATTAATGCACATTAGTATGTTTGCATGTGAGCTAATGTGACCTAGCTATTTGTGCCCAAATGTAATGATCTTAATGGATATTAGTGGGTCCATGTATAGACATGCGCCTGAATCGCCTTATGCGCCTTAAGCAAAGGCACATTAAGTTTAGGCACACATGCATCGCAGAAACCAACTGGTGACTTTGGGAATGGCGTCTCGAGGCGGGCTTTGGTTTCCTTGACAACAACCCGCACATCACGACAAGAGACATGCTCGGAT